ATTAAGGGTAAAGTGAAAGGTTCTGGTTCGGCAGGGATTTGGGTTTTTATGTGTTTTTACACGCTGCGGCCCGCTAGCTGTTAGCTCAGTTTATCACCACGTTGTTAACAGACTGAGTCCTGGCCGGATAGTTTGAACTTTTCTAAATCGTCTTTATCTGGCTATTTAAAACAGCTAGGGTTCGTTTTTGTTTCATAGTTGGTTCTGTAGCAGCAGAAAGGTGAAGCCGAACCAAAGCCCAATCTCGTTTAGGTTTCGTTTAATGACGGATTTAAATGTTTTTCTGATGCGATGTTCAGGCATTTCATCAAAGACTTCAGAGTTAAGCAGCTCTGTTTGTCTGCGTGTTATTTTAAGGTGTGCTTGATGTTTTAGCAGAAGAAGCAGAACACCGGCAAAGGTGGAAAGAAGAAGAAGCAGGTCCTGAAGTTCACTCTGGACTGCACCCATCCTGTGGAGGATGGCATCATGGACGCTGCCAACTTTGTGAGTTCACCTCGTCGTTTCCAGCTGAACTCTGAGAAACAGGAAAGTTTGTTGTTTCTGGAAATCAAAGGATGTGAAGTCAATGCTCGGGCTGCAGAACTCATCAGGTTTTGATCTTAATCATAATTTTAGCTTCATGTGAAAACTTCTTCTCGACCCCAACAGATGTTTGTTTACAAACAAAACAAGTTCCTTTATGTTCTGCGAATCTTTGCGAGTCCAGTTTCACACCCACAGTGGGATCCCAGCTTCGACAACAAATGCTCTAAAGTGTTTTTGTTTACTGCACATGTTGTTTGCAGATTGTTGTCTGGGAAAGTAAATTTAAAAATCGAGGGGGACGCTGCAGCTCATATTTGAATACTAAACAACGTGATGTTTCCCCTCAGCGTGTCCCTGAACGGACAGACTCTTGTAGACCTGACCTCCTGCAGCCTGAAGAGGACCTGTGGTTTTAGTCGTCTTCAGGTCCAGATTAACTCCTAAACCGTGGAACCACCAAAACAACAAAAATGCCTCCAGTTTGGCACCATTTCAAATTAAAGCATAAATTATCACGAGTGTTTTTATTCTGGGAGTCGGCTCAGTCTGGCTCTGGATCCAGTCTTGGTACTAAAATATTTAATAATTCTATCAATGACCTAATTACAACAGTGTCATTTAAAAAGTACGATTATTTTATTTCCTCCGTTCTGTCAGCAGACACTTCGTGTTTTTATGCATCACAAAGTAAAGAACTCCGTTTTTGTTTCCAGGAGCAGTTTCTGCAGGAGCGCATCAAGGTGAACGGGAAAGCCGGTAACCTGGGCGGGGGGGTCGTGTCCATCGAGAGGAGTAAGAGCAAGATCACCGTTTCCTCTGAGGTGCCCTTCTCCAAACGGTGAGGACCAGAACCGCTTCTTAAATCAAACGGGTTCTCTGAGTCTGCATGTTGGGGTCTGAGCTGGTCTTTGGTTCTGCGTTGGGTCGTTGAAGTCGTTTTGGGCCGTTTAAAGCTCCGTCGTCTCTGATCCAGAACTTCTTTGTGCCGACAGAAAACAGTCTGTAGCACAACGCTGCCGTTTTATTTTGAAAAGAAACGTCACGGGTCTGATTAGAGATTAAAAGGAAAGTTAATTTATTTATTTTTATCATTTGGCTTCATGCAACAAGTTTGTAGTGTTGGTTTCTCTGCATCTGGTCTGCTAATCTTTCGTCTGTTAGCAAAATATCTGCTGGACACATTTTATTGAAACGCCGAAGCTCTACAACTTTTGGGGGTTGCTGATTTAAGATGGCCGCCACAGACTTGAATATGATGTTGGAATTACAAGAATGGCTCTAAACTGGTTTAAATCATATTTATCTTCTGATAGATTCCAGTTTGTAAATGTAAATAATCTCCATCATACACCAAAGTTAGTCATGGCGTTCCTCAGGGTTCAGTGCTTGGACAAGTACTCTTTACCTTGTATATGCTTCCATTAGGTAAAGTTATTAAACAGTATGGGATAAATTTTCAGTTATGCTGATGATACAGTTATGAATCCAATCAAGCTAAAACTAGTAAAATGTTAGCTAAAATGCTAGCATAAATTTAACAGTGAACTAAAGGTCAGTGTGCTAGTAAGCGGAGTCCTCAGGACACGTTCCTGGTTGATAGGCGATGTCTCATGGAGCAGCAGAAAATTTTAGCTGCTTCTGCCGAACAGCTGGAGCTTTTTGTTGACATTTCTAAATACTTTTAAAGACAAACGTGTGCGTCAAAGGTTGGTCCGGACGTGTCGGTCCACGCTTCCTGTTCCGACGTCCACCTGTGGAGACGTTGACTCCGGTTCGTTTGTTCCTGCAGGTACCTGAAGTATCTGACCAAAAAGTACCTGAAGAAGAACAACCTTCGTGACTGGCTGCGCGTCGTCGCCAACACCAAGGAGAGCTACGAGCTCCGCTACTTCCAGATCAATCAGGACGAGGAGGAGGAGGAGGATGAAGATTAAACCGGCCGCTCCCATCAGTTTTGTAGGTTTAAATAAATTGTTTACGAGACTGAACTTTTGCTTCCGGGCTTTTCTGATCCAAACATAAAGGGGAAGTGTTCTGTTGGTTCGTTTCAGTCAAAGCAGGTTAAACTGATGAAAAGTTAACCCGTGTCAAGATGCTTAAAACCGATCCGTCAGCTGAGCTGCGGTTGCCATGGTGACGAGTCCAGCATTGTATCAGAGCTGGTCCCTCAGACGACGTTTGTTTCTGGTGTCAAAAGGCAGCGACACCCGACCAGTCGGGTTTCTTCTCTCAAACTGGGACTTTTATTTTGTAGTAATCTAATCTGACGGAATGACCCGTGTCTTGGAGCGGCGTTGTAGAACAAACTGCATCTAAATCTGTTTTTATACGTTCTGCTCCGGGGGGGGGGTGAGATTATGACGTTAAAGCTGCTGACGGTGTCTCGTCGGGTCACCGTGGTAAATTCAAGTTCGCCTCACGTGGCACATGAGGTGGAACGAATTGTGTGCACAGGGTCCCAGTTACATCCAACAATAGCAAAAATATAAATTGTAAAAACCGTACCGTATTTTCCACCGTGCACGTCTCATCGGTCCATATTTGCCTAATAAAGTGGAAAAATCCATAAATACGTCGCAGCTGACGACCCAGAAATATGGACCGGTGTTGTGCCAAAAATCAATGGGCTGCCAAATGGCGAAGCGTGTACAGGAAGAATTTAACTAGATTAACACTTCAAAATTATTTGTTTGCTTTAAGTTGTAGTAAATGTGTGTTTCAATCTAACGTTTGCTTAATAAATGCACTTTAAAGGTCAAATCAGCTGCATTTCAAAAATAGTTTTGCTGCTGAGGTGCTCCCAGGAGCAGATGGGGAGGAGGAACGCTGCTCGCTTAATCGAAATTTAACAAGAAAAGCCCGTAAACAATTATTCGTTTGCCCGAAATTATAGCAAAGGTGTCTCAGTCCATCGTTTGCTTAATAAATGCACTTTAAAGGTCAAATCAGCTGCATTTCGCCTGGTTTGAGTCGATCCGAGCAGAATGAAGGCGGGGAGGTATGGCAGGCTGATCGTATCATTAAAAGCCGAAGATTCTCAGTCATCCAGGACATGGTCAAGTTCATGGAAAAAATATAAAGTCCAGTTGTTTTTGTCTTTTTGTCTGAACATCATTACAGCCACGTTTACATGATACAAAGGCATGCCATACTTACACCTGCTCTGCTGCCATCCAGTGGCTGAGAGTGGTGCTGCTCAATTTTCAGTCGGAATGAATGAAAACTCAAATCAAGACAAAAATTGGTTCATAAATATGGGAAAGATCCATAAATGTATCGCTTCGGCCTTTAAGCCGCAGGGCATGTAAATTATGCAGAAAAAGTGGTAATAAAGATCTTATAAAGTAAGAAATACGTTGAACACCAGTAGTGCCGCAGCACGAACATGTAACACCTGACTCACTCTTAATAAGACGGTCAGCAGAGCAGAACTCAAAGTCAAAAATTAACTGTGGGCCGAGTTTTACTCTCAGCTGAACACCATCGATGTCTGGAAGAAGTTTTAGCTCGGTGGTTGACGTCGTACGAAGTTCTGCTGATGGAGCTTCATGTTTTCACCTACGGTGGTTTTTAAAGTTAAAGATCACAACGGTGAGCGTCTCGGAGCTTCGGTCATCTTCAATTAAACCCAATTTGACTGAAATTCAGAGAGTGAATCTTCAAGTTTTTAAACTTTCTGAACTAATAAAATTTAATTTAGAAACTAAATGAATTTCTGTTTCAGTTCGAAATGATTTTCATTCTGGGTGGATTTTTTTCTGAGATGTTTGGAAACTGATCAGCTCGAGGGTCGTCTGTTAAACTAGTCGGGCAGAGAAGGAAGAAAAATATCTTAAGTTCTGCTCAAAGGTGGCCCGACCCGTGTTCTGACCGGCCCGTGTTCTGACCGACCCGTGTCTGACGACCCGGCGGTGGTGCACATGCAGGTATTTCACGGAGTCGTTTTATACGATGCTTTATTCATTGCAATGGAAAACAAACAGCGTAAACAACAGAACAGGACAAACAGAACTCCCCCGCTTCGTTAAAAATAAAAACTGCCTGAAAACTTCGGATCGGCTCCAGACTGGAAGTTCTGACCCGCTTGTTGAACCCGCTTTGAGCGTAGGAAAAGTTCAAAATGAAAGAAACGACGTGAAGGTGACGGACTCCGAGGTCTGAGGTGCATCCTGGATGCAAACACTGAGCGGGGAGGAATGTAACTTCAGGCGGTGCACGAGCTCAGAACCTCGCGGTTCTGATTGGACCCAAACTGTCGGAACAAATACAAAATGATCCCCGTAACCTGAACGTGGACGTAGAAAAGGGTCCAGGTTTTGGAGCGTTGGTCTCTGAAACCCCCTCAGAGGGAAAGTCTGAAGGTTCTGCTTTAGCACCAGAAAACACGACGAACAAATTCAAACGAAGACGACGGAACCAGAACCAGAACCGGGTTTTTAACTGAAAACTGGAACTTTCTTAGTGGGAACCACGCAGCTGAGAGTGACGAGCCGGTTCTTTAAAGGTGGATCATCCGGACCTCCCGTGGGTTTTAGAGTCCGAATCGGTGTGGAACCAGTGGGCTGGTGGTTGGGATGTTTGGTGCCGTCCCGGCGGTTCTGCTCTGGGTCAGATGGTCCGGGGGTTGTACTCCGGCAGCTTCTTCAGCTTCTCCTTTTCCTGCTGGGAGTCGTGCCGAGTGATGACCAGAGAGTGGGAGTAACCCATCACCACCTGCACACACGGTAACACACGGCTCAGGAACAACTCGGAGAACATTACAACTCTGGTTCTGACCCAGAGCTCAGTCCTGGTAGATCTTCTGAGGGGGGGTTCTGTGGGGAGTTATTTCATTTAAATAAAGTCATGAATCTAGAGCAGCGTCTGTTAGCCCTGCCGCCTCGCAGCCTTTCACTTCCTGCTGAAGGTTTTGTTGTTTACGTGGAGTTTACATGTTCTCCCTTTTCTCCAGGTGCAGGAAGTGACGACCAAATGAAGCTTTTCTGAAGCACTGAAGCTTATTTGAAACAAGGTTCGTTACTCGAAGCTCTTCAGCAGCAAAGGTCAAAGGAAAAGTTTACAAGACAGTGGTGAGACCAGCTGTGCTGTATGTTCTGGAGACAGAGACATGGACAAAAAGACAGGAGACAGAACTGGAAGTGTCAGAAATGAAGATGTTGAGGTTCTCCTTAGGAGAGACAAGGATGGAGAAGATCAGGAATGAGATCATCAGAGGTACAGCACAGGTTGAACAACTGGGAGGTAAAGTTAGAGAGGACACACTGAGATGGTTTGGACATGTCCAGAGGGACAGTGGTTTGGACATGTCCAGAGGAGGGACATTGGTTTGGACATGTCCAGAGGGACAGTGGTTTGGACATGTCTGGGAGCTGCCAGGAAAAAGACAGAGGAGATCTATGGATGAAGTTGGAGGACATGGAGGTGGTTGGACAGAGGACTCTGGACATCTGAAGAGGGAGCAGATCAAAGATTACTCTAAACTTCTGGTTTTTAAAATCAGCTCGAGACTCGGAGCTGAAGAGAACCTGCTTTAATGTCAGCTGACGGTTCTGTGAGGTCATCGAGGTGACTCAAACGTTCTTTTTGTGGGTGAAAGAATAAAGTTCTGCTAATTTGACGAATAAACGAGTTCCTGAAGGTTTTTGCTGAGGACGTCTTGATGTTTCAGTTGCAACACGCTGCAGGTCTCCTCCCTGACCTTCTGTATTTAACAGTTAGATTTACAGAGATCTTAGTGCAGCTCAGTGTCTTTATACATTTGTTTGTTCTTCATGGGAGCAGACGAGCTTCTGAACTAATGAGCTACACGCATCAGGCGGGTTCTTTAAGTTTAGCAACAAACGCCACCAGAACCCCTCAAAGCTCTGCAGTCAGGACCCAAGCGGACTCTGATCGGGTGACTCGGCCCTAACGGGTCACGATGGTCGTTATACATGAGCTTCAGATCATCACTACATCCATGTTGGGCTGACTGACAACTGTCCTCAAGCGTCCATGTCTTTGGTGATGGACCATATGTCCAGGGTGGACTCTCATCCAACGAGGGTTGGAGATCGGATCAGGAACGTAGAACCAAGAGGCTTCAAGTCATTTAGTTCTCCTCGGTGGATCTGTGCGTTTGATCCCGTGTCCTCTGCTGGTTGCTGCTGCTTTATACATAAAGTGGCATGTTAATATCTTACCTGCTGCAGATGTCTCTTTAAATGACCTGTTTAGAGAAGTGATGAGCTACAGACTAGTCTGAACAGGGCTCCAGTCCAAACTTTAATGACTGAAGCGATGTCGTTTCATAAACAGAACCAAGAGTTTAAAAAAAGCTAAACTGTTGCTCAAGGCTCAAGTAAAAGGTTGTTCTGTAATCCTCGGGCTCGACAGTTTAAACAAAGAACACAAGAACTGAATTTGAGCCGCAGGTCAGCTGTGTTCACCTGGAACTACCGTGTGACTTAACCCCACTGCAGAAGGTTGGAACTATCCCTTTAAACGAACACCCTCACACGTGAGTTTGTCGGTAAAAAGGCGTCCTCTGCTGATGAACCCCGAACATGAATAAAACGGTGTCTGGTTCGAGTTACCTGCTCGACGTAGATCCCATCCAGAGTTTTCACCTCCTGAGCGGTTGTGGAGGATTTGGGTTTGTTGTCTCCGTACCCCTGAAGACAAAAACACACGTCGTTTCTCCTCCTCGTGAATCATAAACGCCAAGATGGCGGCAGAACCTACCAGCTCTCCACATGTGGGCGAGGGGCCCCAGCTGATCGTGCTCTCGTCCGCCGCGATGATGATGCTGCTCTTCCTGCCGACATCAAACACAAATCAGCCTGAAGCACGTCCGTTCAGCTAAAGCGCTCCGGGGCCGGACATCCAGCAGTTGTTGTCATCGCGTTTGTTTTATGGTTTAAGATCTAGTTTTGTTTAGAATCGACACATTAGGGGGTCGAGCGGAGTTCATCCGTGGGCCTGATTTGGCCCCCGGGCCGCCAGTTGAGCAGCCCTGGCCTAAAGACTGGAACAGGAGATGCAGAAGGTTCTGATCGGCTTTGAGTGATTTAAAGGTCGATAGTTTTCTGATCCTCCTTGAACTCTGCAGTTTTAGAGAAAAGCAACTTTTCTGAAGGGAGGATTCATAAAAATAAAGCGCTGATGTAAAACAAAGTTCTGCAGGAAACCAGTCTGAGCCGACCCGTTTCTGATCCTTAGATGTGGCCACCAGTTGATGCAGCTGCAGGAACCAGTTCCACCAGCAGGGGGCAGACTTTTACAAGTCAGTGAGATTCCTTTAAAAAGTTCAGTCAGGTCCTGTGGACCGGGTCAAAAAACTGTAGAAACGGTTTTGGACCCGGTCCTGAGGTGACTGAGACTGAACAACTTCTTTTTTCTACCTGGATTATTGAGCATGCATCAGGAGATCAGTGAGATTTCATTAATCTGAAACCAAAAGGATTATTTTTTGAGACGGTATTTGATGCAACTTCAGAGAAAAGTTACTTTGGGCCCTGGTGGGTTTAAAGTCCAGGATCCAGACTCACCCGCAGGCCAGGCTGCGGATCTTCCAGCCGCACAGATCCTGCACAGCTTTGGGGTACATGGTGGACTCTCTGGACGTGTTTGTGATCCCCCAGAAGAACAGCGCCCCTGCAAACCCGACGAGAGCACACGTGAGAGGTCTGAAGATTCGAGCCTCAGAACCGGTGCGGGTTCTGTCCCTCACCCATCTCGTTGATGGCGAAGGAGCACTGGTACCCGGCGTAGACCTGAGCGGCGCCGCGACCGGGGAAGTCGAAGAGCTTGACGAGTCGGGGAACCATCTCGTCCTTCTGCTCCGTGTGACCCAGACGTCCATAACCGCCAAAACCCCAGCTGAAGACCCTCTTCTGAGAGTCCAGCACCAGCTGGGCACACAGAACCAGGTTAGAGCCGGGTCAGAACGTGCCTGAACGTCAGAACCACCGGGGGGCGTCTCACCGTGTGATTGGCTCCACACGCCACGTCTCGGACCACCACGTTGGGCACCGGCATGATCTGGCCGTCCTTGGACTTCTCGATGAAGATGGCGACGCGCCGGGGGACGAGCTCGCAGTCGAACTCGATCCGCTGGGCCCGAGCGATGAACTTCCCGTCACTGTTGTGACCTGAAGACGGATCAGAGTCCAAATCAAACCAGGTCCCGTCCAACGGGTTTAATCATTAAAGCCTGAACAGATGTTTCATTAATACACATGTTCTGAAGTTTTTCATGTACTACGATAGAAAGACGCACTAAATACACATGTTCTGAAGTTTTTCATGTACTACGATAGAAATACGCACTAAATACACATGTTCTGAAGTTTTTCGTGTACTACGATAGAAATACGCACTAAATACACATCGTTCACTAAAAGTTACCACAGAATTCGTCAGCAGTCGTGTTTTGTTGCCAACAATTCAGAGTCATTTGTTTACAGTCCAACACTGACGAGTCCACTTTGCACACGAGTCAGTAAAATAATCCCAGGACGACGACAAGGTAAAGTTCTCTCTTCTGTGAGGAAACGACTAAAAGAGCGAGCCGTGTGGGCAGAAGTCGTTTTGAGGACATGGAGCCACAATCGGTCACGTTCACCCCCAACGATCATTTTACAACGCAGGAATTGTTAGAAGCGTCAACATTCAAGTGAGAAACATTTAAACAGCTGATATAAGCCGTTAGATTCACACAGACTGAAGCTTCTTGTTCCCGCCAGCTACAGATCAGATCATCTCTGAGATGAAGGCGTGCGAGCTCCGCACGCACAGACGACCTGCTCAGACTGGACAAGTACTTCAGTACTAGTTAATAAATCTGCCAGGTTGGTCCTCCCAGTCACCTTAATGCCACCCCTCCTCCTTTTCCCTCACTTGAGCACAAACCAGCCCCTCCCCCGCCGCTTGCAGCGCCTGAAGACTGTTTGAATCACAAAGCTGATCTTAGATCTGCAGAGATCTTCGTTGACGAGCTGATGGGTGTTAAAACGACTGAGCAGTTTGGTGTTCTCCAGGAAATTAACTGCAGAGGCAACGTACGAAGTTTTCTCATTAAAACACGTGGAGACAAGTTTAGGGTGAGAGGAAAAACAACTCCACCTGAGCTCTGCACTTCCAGAGTCAGACTTTTGTTAATAAAAGTTATTAAAAGTTGAATGAATATACTTCACCAGAATCAGACTTCAGATTTATTAATAAATCAGGGTGCCATAAAACGGTGAAATACTAAAAACAAGAACATGCTTTGATGTTTCTATGGACAATATCAAATGTCTTGGAACTTGTATTTGTTTATTTAAATAAATGCCTAAAAAACGTAAATATTTATTTTTTAGACATTTATTTTGTACAGTTCCAGCTGTTGTTAATAAATGTGCCTGTGTGACAACTGGGACAAAGCTTTGACTCTGGAATATATTTTTGTTACTTTATGGAAAGAAAAGAAAAAAAAAAAAAATATATATATATATATATATATATATATCGTATATCGTGATTTATCTTAAAATATCGAGGTATTCGTTTAGGTCTACTACCGAACTGCCGTCCCCCACCCCTCGTCGACAACTGATGTAGCGCTAAGCTAGCTGCGCACAATACAGACGTGCTAGCTAAAAAGATACAGAGGCAGCGCTCCGCCTCCCTCACGCTGAACCGTCTCCCCCCCCACCCACGACAAAAATCACAGAAGAGATGAGTGCCCTGCCAAGGCAAGTAATCTAGGGGAGACACTGATACTATTAACACATTTACTACCCTATACTAATTTAAATACCAGGATGACTAGTAAAGGCACTATACTAATACTTGGAAGTACTATTAGTAGTACTAGCTCCAGGTTGACTTGCAGCTCTGTGGTATATAAAGATGGTTCATCTGAATAAAAAGTAACTTCTATAATTTATGATGCTGGAGGGAATAATCCAAACCTCTGTAATCTGTGGACCTGCACAGCTGCTTCGTGGAGTCTCTAATCTGCAGAACCGTTCATGAAAAAGTTGTCAGGAGGCGGCCATGTTGGACTAAATCCAAGCTGCTGAAATGTTCCCAATGCGTCCTAATGGAGCTTAAATAAAGCTGAATATTTCAAAAACCATGAATGGAACAAGGCTCTGAAGTCACAGCGTTCGTCTCCTGGACGATCTTAATAACTAGAAGTTTGAATCGCAGCATTAGATCCAGTGGTGGTGATGGAGGTGGATGGATCGGTACCTAGCTGTCCGTACTCTGGGCAGCCGAAGGAGTACAGGTTTCCTTTGCAGTCCACCACCATGCTGAACTCGGCACCGCAGGACACCTTCACCAGAGGCTGGCCGTTGTAGGAAATCTGAAAGGAGGCGAAGCCCAACGTTACTATCAAGGTTCTGAAGGACTCGGTTCTCTCAGTCCAAAGACCGACGGCTCACCGGTGCTGGACTGAGGACGGCGTCCGTCTGACTGCCCTGGCCAAGCTGACCCAGTTTGTTCTCACCAAAGGAGTAAACGGTGCCGTCCTCTGAAGAAGCACAAAGAGTCAATTAAAACGACGTTCAGCTGATTCGAGTCTGTTTTGTTCAGAAGTTCTAAAAGTCCCGATCCGGACCCGGCTCACCTGTGAGCGCCAGCGTGTGGTTGCGTCCGCAGGCGGCAGAAACGATCACCTGATCGGCCAGGCCCTCGACGATCTTTGGAGCCTCCAGACGTTTGGTGTCTCCATGACCCAGCTGACCTTTGTCGTTACGACCTGACGAGGCAAACGCAAAATGTTACAGAAAACGCAGAACGTTACAGAAAAAGCAGAACGTTACAGAATGTTACAGAAAACGCAGAACGTTACAGAATGTTACAGAAAACGCAGAACGTTACAGAAAATGCAGAACGTTAGAGCGTCACAGAATGTTACAGAAAACGCAGAATGTTAGAGCGTCACAGAATGTTACAGAAAACGCAGAACGTTACAGAATGTTACAGAAAA